GAAGGTAAAAGAAATTGAAAAGCTTAAAGCACTGATTGAAGTTGAATGTGTACGTTCCCGGTTATTATTGGGGAGTTGGCGTCTATTCCCCCGAACTTAAAGACTTACACGAAGAAGATCAGAATAAAGCATAGCTTCCCAACGCGTTAGAAGTCTGGGTTGCTCGGCTTTGAAAATATTCTACTTGGAGTAGTACAACTTTTTTAAAAATCGAGTTCGAGTATTAACAACACAACACAAAAGAGGATATTGGTTATGGAAGAATTAGAAAGCAGAAACGTTACTAAGGAGCAAGAACAATACAAGAGTAGTCGCGAAGACAGTAAGATAGCGATTGGCATTGTATTTAAATTTTTGAATATTAAAGTTGTATAGCGAAGAAAACGGCGGCTTACCTCGTCAAACCAAGCGACAGCGTGTCGCATGTATTCCTACGACGGAAAAGAAAATTAATTATATAAAAAAAGGGCACGTATTCCGCATGACATACTGAAGACGGAATATTTAGATTAAAAAAACAAGTCCGTCGCAGGAGTCACTATAAAAGTATTTTGTTATGCAAAATATTTGGCGTCCTCTCCCAGTTGTTGACGAATGAAAAAAATGCTCGGAAAAATAAAAGCAGTTGGTGTACTTGAATCGGGAGGGGAATATTGATGTATTTTGGCTACCACATTCGTCGGAGAGTGAGTTATTTTTCTCTGCATTGGGATTTTGAGATAGTACCTGCGAATCGAGTTTTCGGCATTTCTTTCTGCCCCCGATATTCGAGTCTGGACTTACAGTGATTTGTTCTCTGCGTTGTGGAATTAATCTGCGACAAACATTTCCTTTGCTTTCAGAACGCTTACAAGTTGACAAGAAAGCACGAAGCCAGAACAGAATTCCACAAGCGAGAAGTGCAAGAAAATAAACTGTTAGCATAGAACTTACGATTACATCTATCCACTTCAACTGTAAATGCATAAGACCTTGTTGACCTTGTCTAGTACTGCGCTTAAATTCATAAAGTCTATGTACAATAACGAAGAGCTCACCAAAACAATTACCCTGGACGTATTTATAAAAAAGATACACGAAGGCAACGTTACGGCGATGGGAATGACTCAAGCCGAGACGCCAGATTAGGACCAGTAATATTGCTAATTCTTCTTTGCGATTTATCAAGGATCTCTAGATATACAGCAAGAGCACCGGACCAAATGTGGCAGTAATATTCTAAGCAGGGACAAATTGTTGATTTATAGATATGTAAAATAGATTCCGGATTCAAAATGGCGTTGTACGAATCAAATTTTGTAGCATATAACCTAGCAACGGATTCAATGTAAATTTTCCACTTCACGTCAGTTGGAAATATTAGCTTTGATGGAAAACATACATAATGCAAAATCTCTGGTTGAAAACGAACGACCGTGCAGAAAATAATAATAATAATAAGAAGAAGAAGAAGAAGAAGAAGAAGAAGAAGAAGAAAAAGAAAAAGAAAAAGAAAAGACGAAAAAGAAGATGAAAAAGAAAAGATGAAAAAGAAGAAGAAAAATAATAATAATAATAATAATAGTAAGAATAAAAGAAGTATATTAATAAGAAGAAATGAAGAAGTAGAATAATAATAATAATAATAATAATGAGATGAAGAAGAACACAAAGAAGTATATAATAATAATAAGAAGAAGAAGACGAAGACGAAAAATGTATATAGCAATAAAAAGAAAAGAAGTATAATAATAACAATAATAATAATAATAATAATAATAAAAAGAAGAAGAAGAAGAAGAAGAAAGAAGAAGAAGAAAGAAGCAAAATAATAAGAAGAAAAGAAGTATAATACTACTACTAATAATAATAATAATCATGAGAAGGAGAAGAAGAAGAAAGAAGTGAAATAATAATTAGAAAAGTATACTACTACTGCTACTAATAATAATAATAATAAAAAGAAGAAGAAGAAGAAGAAAGAAGTGAAATAAGAAGAAGAAAAGAAGTATACTACTACTACTACTACTAATAATAATAATAATAAAAAGAAGAAGAAGAAGAAGAAGAAGAAAGAAGTGAAATAAGAAGAAGAAAAGAAGTATACTACTACTAATAATAATAATAATAATAAAAAGAAGAAAGAAAGAAATAATAAGAACAGAAGTATACTACTACTGCTACTACTAATAATAATAATAAAAAGAAGAAAGAAGTAAATAAGAAGAAGAAAAGAAGTATACTACTACTACTACTACTACTACTACTACTACTACTACTACTAATAATAATAATAATAATAATAATAATAAGAAGAAGAAGAAGAAGAAGAAGAAGAAGAAGAAGAAAACGAATATGAAAAGATTGGATTGAAACCTTTTTCAAACTCTAAATTAAATATTACATCAGATTAAATTCAGCTCACTGATTCAATCATTTGTATTAGGATAACGTTGGATGTATTATGTCGATACAGACCGGATCATCATGCGGATTAGTATTGGCGCAAAAGGGAATAAGAAAAAGAAAGAAATAAAACGAATGCTGTGGTAATTTATCGATGGAATTAAGATATAAAGATAGATTAGCGACGATTTTATAACAATCAGATTGGACACAAGAGATTTTACGCATTTCAAATTAAATCACTGGATTTCATTTCCCTTAGAAAATATATCGTATAATCAATTTGCCGGTGGTCAGGGTTACTTTTACGTTTTTATTGCAGTGTCGAATCAAGTTAAGCAACTGAAGAAAAACAATCTGATCTTGACTTCAACACTGAATAGGGAAACAGAATAGATTGATATATATATATATATATATATATATATATATATATATATATATATATATATATATATATATATATATAACTGAAGCGTCACATACGACACAAACAAAAACTGTGTGAGGTTGTCGGATCCTCATACATCGAAATCGACGGAGAGTCTATCATTATATATATATATATATATATATATATATATATATATATATATATATATGTGTGTGTGTGTGTGTGTGTGTGTGTGTGAATATAAATATAATTTATCGTGCATATAGTGCTGGTGTTAATAAAACAGTGTTCGATGAAATATAACAGAACTATTAAGTATATGTTAATAAATATGACTATAATCCAAAACTAGTAGCACGACTCGGAGTTTCATGCACAACGCAGTCTTCAGGTGCTGAGTATATACTCGTAAGGCATGAAACTACCAGTTACATTTCTGTGTTGATTCCGCTGTCCGTACTATATATATATATATATATATATATATATATATATATATATGCTTATTTCCATTTTTTTGTATAGGGTGTTCATGAATATTTATAGGTTAGCGAGAAAGCCAGGCAAGGTGATGGGCATGAGGTGATACAGTTCAATACCTAGTTCGTAATATAATTTTTCGGCAATCCGATGATAAATTTAAACCATGGGTTACACAACTGCAAACCTTTAACTCCGGTCGAAGATTACACACACACACCATACACACACACAACCATACACACACACACGTGTGTATATATATATATATATATATATATATATATATATATATATATATATTATATTTATATGTGTTTTTTGTGTGGGTGCGTATACTTTTATTTTTGCGTTGTAGTTTTTTATTGGTCAAGCAGGTTTCACGTACATTTGACTTGTAGAGCAATGTTATTATGAGTTATTGAGTTCTGAACTCAAGGAAAGATGAGGTTTAAACAATTAAAAATAAATATACCATATATAAAAATACCAGAATTTCTGATGGACTTCTACTAAAAGTAAAACATGTTAGATTTATAAAGCTTTCCTGTTTGTTCTCTGTCCTATTCGTCTCTCGAATTCCGATCCATATTTGATCTCAATTCATATATATATATATATATATATATATATATATATATATATATATATATATATATATACGTGTGTGTATGTGTGTGTGTGTGCGCATGCATTTCACCTGGACTGTTTACAAATTTTGCATTTCTCTACAAGTTTGCAGGATGGATTTTGGTTCGTTGTATGCAAGAAATCCAAAGAAATCTGAAGAAGGTTAGAAAATCTTTCTTCCTTCTGCGTCTATTTCAGGTGTGTCCGTTTCCCTTCGCTTGTGTGTCTCTTCACGATTCATGTCTCTAACAAGAAAAATATATTTGCATTTCTCCTGCTTTGGGAAATTATGTCAACAGGATTTTTGGTTAAAAATTTTGTCAAAAAAAAATAAAAAAATAAAAAAAAAAATAAAAAAATAAAAATATAAAAAATAAATAAATAAAAATGAATAAAATAAAATGTTTAAAAAAAAGTACCTTTCGAATCGAATATACAATCATAATATTGTTAAACTTAGGGAGCTCGACATGATGTGGTTAGCAAGCTTGTCTCGTTAAATCAGATACGACTGAATAGTGAGTTGCTCCTCACTGGGTGCCGCGTACTTTCGGCCTCATGACACATCTAAGCTACGCTTAGAAAAGCACCATAATACAGTTGCACTATTATTTGTACTATTGAATGCTTCATCTAATGTTTGACAAACATTAAATCAATACTAGGGCAGTTGGTCTTGTTGGAGGAAATAATGTCGAAACTTGAACGGCCGACGAGCGGAACAGAAGTAACCTGAATATCTGATTCTTCTAAACATCTTATGAACAGTGACATTTGCGGCGTTTGATTGGCAATCTACTCACAAATCGCCAAATCAAGGAGTCAGCCGGCTATTGGCTGCTGAGGTCGCGGAAAAAGATACGTTTGTTTGTGGCCTTTGAGACTGTTCCACCCTAATAGAGATTAATATCTCTACTCCAAACATACTTGGACAATGAATGGGAAAGGGTAAGTCCTTGAAATCTAATCAGCTTAGAGTCAGCTTGGATATCTCTGTAGCTTCTGGGTTCAGCTAAGGTTAGCGTTGATTATGACATTTTATAGGGTTAGGAAGAAAAACTTATGCAAACTTCGGCATCGTGGAATAGAAATTATAATACAGTAAAAAGTGTCAAAAAAATGAGAGATACAAAAACAAATGGTGAAAAAGAAAGAAAAGGAAAATGGATAGGAAAAGAAGGAAAATGAATAGAAAGATGAAGAGAAAAGGAGAAAAAAACGTAGAGAAGATAAGAGAATGAAAAGGCTTGAAAAAATGGAAGGTGAAAAGAGGGAGGTATAGAAAAATGGGAAACATTCGTGAAAAAGGAGAGGAAAGGAATGAAATGGAGAGAAAAGATGAAGTGAAGGAGAAAATGGAAATGAAAGAAGGAGAGAAAAAAGTGATGGAGATATAGAAGAAAAGATAGAAAAAAGAAGAAGAGAGAAAAAGAAAGAAGAAACAATAAAATAAGAAAAGAAACAAAGATGGAGAAAATGTGAGAGCGAGAAGATAAAGACAGAAAAGAAAAGAAGAGAAAATAGAAAAAGGTGAAGAGAAAAATAAAGAAAACAAAGAAACGAAGGAAGTAGAAGAGAAAAATAGAGGAATAGGTGGAAAACGGAAGACAAAGGGAATTAAAGAGAGGAAAGAAAGAACGAAAAAAATAGAAAAAGAAGGAAGAGAAATGAAATGAAAAAAAAGAGAAAAAAAAGAAAAGAACAGACAGAAAAAAAAGGTAGAAAAACAGGAAGTCGAGAAATGTGGGGGAAATAAAGCAGAAGTAGTGAAAAAGGAAGAGGAATAGAAAAATAGAAAAGAAGAAAATGAAACAACGATGGAGAGAAAGAACAAAGAAGAAACAGGCAAAAAAAAAAAAAAAAAAAGAGGAAGAAAAAGAGTGAAGCGAAAGAGAAAAAACTGAAGCAAAAAAAAAAAAAATAGAGTAACCGAATTTTCTGTTTGGAAGTCTTCTTCGGAATTTGGTTTTCTTTTAATACAACAGATGCTAGCCTGTTTTGGGTTGATAAGTAAATAACATATACGAAAGAAATTAAAAATAAATAGATAAATACGACCTACAAGAGATTTTAAAACGGTCAGAGTAAAAATATTAAATATACACTGTGAAAGAAAGAAATCACAGCTTATGAATTTACGAAACTTACTAATAATTACCAAATGAAATTAGTACGATGCAGGACGCAATATTAATATAAGGAATTAGTGTCGGAAGACTGCGTTGCGCCTCTAACGAAATAGAACAACACTACCTTGAAATCAGAATTCGTAATCCTAGCATATAATCTTTGGTATGGAAAACCGACAACTACAGCTCCAGGGAAAATCACAATTCGTTGACCCACCAAGCAGGTATTCTAATAATAAAGTTATTCAAGCTAAGTTTACAGACTGTTATTCCACATTGAGAGCTCCTAAGATTAGCTTAGCCTAATAATAAAAACAGAGGCAATATTTAAGATTATGTATTTACTAGAATTTTTAGGAACAACCTGTTCAAATCCTTAAAGTATTTAATATTGTTGAAGTTATCGATTTACAAACTCTAAGTTTATATTTATTTACTAACTAATTATATTTTACCAGAATGATATATATATATGTATGAATATATATATATATATCGATATATATATAATATATATATATATATATATATATATATATATATATTATATATATATATATATATATATATATATATATATATATATATATATATATATATATATGCATATATATATATATATATGTTGTATTGATATATATAATTTATGAATATGTCCTGAAAACATGGTTTATATATATATATATATATATATTTTTGTTTATTTTTATTTTCCGTATATATTTTTTCTTCATATATATATATATATATATATATATATATATATATATATATATATATATATATATATATATATATATATATATATATATATATATATATATATATATAAGTTTTTTCTGCCTCTAAATGTAATGCATCGTTGGGCTTTGTCATGTTGTATTGATAATAAATGAATATAAAAATTAAAGATAAAATGAATATGTCCTGAAGATGGTTTATATTTCTGAGACCGAAACCTCCGAGGTTGGTTTCATATATTCCAACATTAAAAACAGGGCATAATTTTGATATATGGCGAAAGGATTTTAATGTAAATAGTTTGTTTTTCCGTATATATTTTGAGGACAATAGTCTTAATGTATATATATCTCATATATATATATATATATATATATATTAATACCTCATCTCAGAAATATATATATATATATATATATATATATATATATAATATCATCTCATTTTTCATATATATATATATATATATATATATATATATATATAGACAGATACTGAAAGATCGGATAAATATGGCGAAAAGAGGGACAATAAAATATACATTTCTCAGAAATGCCTCACAAAGATGAGGACGCAATAATGAAATGTAATAATGCAGAAATACTGAAGGATCAAAATATGGCGTTGAGGACAATAGTCCGAATAATGTAAATAGTGTACATAATACGTTATAGACACTGTCCGATCTAAATACAACTCATCTCAGAAATTTATTTATTGGTAAAAGATAAAATAGTCCGAATAATGTAGTTCATTTTCTATATGACAGATACTGAAGGATGGAAAATAAATGAATAATGATCATAAAATAAAAATAGACAGATAAAGGATAAAATGGCAAAAGATAAATAGTCAATAATATTTATTTGTAGACAGATACAAGGATCGTCTATATCGAATAATGTAAATAGTGTACATAATACTCATCTCAGACAGATACGAAGGATCGAAAATATGGACAAAAGATGAGGACAATAGTCCGAATAATGTAAATAATGTACATAAACCTCATCTCAGAAATATAGACAGATACTGAAGGATCGGATAAATATGGCGACAAAGATGAGGACAATAGTCCGAATAATGTAAATAGTGTACATAATTCATCTCAGAAATATAGACAGATACTGAAGGATCGGATAAATATGATGACAAAGATGAGGACAATAGTCCGAATAGTAAATGTAATACACTGAAGGATCGGATAATATGGCTAGGGACAATAGTCAGAATAATGTTAGACAGATACTGAAGGATCGGATAAATATGGCGACAAAGATGAGGACAATCCGAATAATGTAAATAGTGTACATAATACCTCATCTCAGAAATATAGACAGATACTGAAGGATCGGATAAATTGTAATGTAAATAGTGTACCTCATCTTATAGACAGAAACTGAAGGATCGGATAAATATGATGATTTATTACAACGTTTCAGTTCGATATTCCAACCACATCCAGAAATATGGCAGAAGAAGAATAATGGCTGATACCTCATCTCAAATATAGACCAGATACTGAAGGATCGGATAAATATGAAAAAGATGAGGACGTTGTAATAAATATGGACGACAAAGATGAGGACAATAGGACAATAGTCGAATAATGTAAATAGTGTACATAATACCTCATCTCAGAAATATAGACAGATACTGAAGGATCGGATAAATATGATGACAAAGATGAGGACAATAGTCCGAATAATGTAAATAGTGTACAATAGTCCGATAATAAATAGTGTACATCTCAGAAATATAGACAGATACTGAAGGATCGGATAAATACAAAGATGGGACAATAGACAAAAATGATGAGGATCTCAAAATATAGACAGATACTGAAGGATCGGAATAATGTAAAATAGTCGTACATAATACCTAATCTCAGAAATATAGACAGATACTGAAGGATCGGATAAATATGGCGACAATAGATGAGGACAAATAGTATAGACCGAATAAAATGTAAATAGTGTATAATAAATAGTGTACATAATACCTCATCTCAGAAATATAGACAGATACTGAAGGATCGGATAAATATGGCGACAAAGATGAGGACAATAGTCCGAATAATGTAAATAGTGTACATAATACCTCATCTCAGAAATATAGTCAGAAACTGAAGGATCGGATAAATATGGCGACAAAGATGAGGACAATAGTCCGTATAATGTAAATAGTGTACATAATACCTCATCTCAGAAATATAGACAGATACTGAAGGATCGGATAAATATGGACAAAGATGACAAAGATGAGGACATCTCAGAAATAGTCCGATATAATGATCGGATAAATAGTGACAAAGATGAGGACACAATATGTAAATAGTAATAATATTCGACAAATTGAATGAGAAAAGAGAGAAGGATCGGAAAAACAATGATTTAATAAATAGTGTACATGAATACCTCAGATTTAATCTAAATATGAAAGACTGCGTTCATGCTAATTGGTTTCCTCATCTCATATAGACAGAAACTGAAGGATCGGATAAATATGATGACAAAGATGAGGACAATAGTCCGTATAATGTAAATAGTGTACCCTTGCCTTCTATCTGAGCAATGTCTTCTTCTTTTGTTTTTTAATACAACCTCTCATTACCCTTTGCCCATGAACTATTTTCTTTACTCTCTTCTCGTATCTATTATTTTATTAACTGAATTCATTTTAGAATTTATACCTGATCACAGTTATAATTTCCTTATTCTTTTCACACTTTACTTTTTTCTTATGCTTTTTATTTCTTCTTCTTAGAGTCTTCCGATTAGGACAAGTTACAATTGGCCTTAAAATATTTGCAATTCATCGCCAAGTCTAATTTCATTGTGTATTTAAATAAAAAAGAAAAAAAAATAGAATAATTAAACCTTGTTCTTTCGGCGTCTGTTGTATTTCCGGTCAGCATGTTTAGCCGTACAAGAGGAAATCAGAATTGATTAGAACTCTGACGTCATTATTAATTGTGATACATCTCAGAAGAAGCCCTGGCTACCAAAGATAGGAATATATTGTTGATGAGAATCTGACTCAGGGTTAGGGTTAAAGTATTTGAACTTATCAGATTATGACGAGTTCGATGCTTGGCTTTGTAAATATCCGGGCCCACAGACGTAGTTGAAGTTATTTTGCAGCAGCGAATGTTGCTGGTGTTCGTAAGAAGATTATTGTGTACTGATTTTCAAGACAGACAGATCTTCAATAGCTAAAAAGATTCGTACATCACAATCTTTCTTATGGACCAATCAAGCCTTATATCTATATTTTTTCTGAGTATAACGTCAATTCAGCGCGAAGTGAATCATACCCCCACTCAAAAAAAAAAAAAAAACACTTTTTCTATATTATCTATTAATTATAATACATTCTTAAGAAAATTATTGGAGAGATTTACCGTGATCTTTTCCACACACTTGAAGTTAGATTTTTCCTTCAGTTAGATTTTTTCTACCCAATTTTATAAATCTCCCTTTACGATGACATTTTTTTTAAATATCAGATTGTGTTTCTTTAGACTGGTTGATACCAAGGCTAGAGAGTCCATTCTACCCTTCTATTTACTTCATATTTACTTTCAAAAATAAGAACAAGAACACACTAAGTTTTGTCATTCTCTTAGTAAAGTTACTAGCTAACTTTAGAAAGCCCTAACTCCCCTGTTAATGTTTAATAAAGTCTATTTAAATCATATCTTGGTTTATTTTAAAAGCAGTTTTGTCCTTTTATTAAAGTGGTTACTGCTCAAGCCTAAGGATCTCAGGCTATTCTGTTAATGATTCTAAGAATAGGCGATACTAATGCAAACTAAATGTCGGACTTACAGAACCTTATCTTACTGAGTGCTCAAGAAACAGAAATATTTAGCAGAGTTGGATTTTGGAGCAAATTACTTTATTTGATTTGTTGACTGAAAATGCGTTATCTATTTAAAAATGCCTGACAATATTTCTAATAATAAGATATGTGTAAATAAAATGAAGCAATAAAATATGTTGGCGGTTTTTTGAGCAATAAAAACAAA